GGTAGGATTCAGGCTCTTCTTACCCACTTTCCTTCCCATCCTGTGACTTCTGTGCTCCTGTCTATACAATGGCCCATATTCAGCAAGAAGGAAGATGAGAGACTCCACTGCTCTCCAAGTATTTCACGTGATTAGGCCTATGCCAAGGATCCTAATGACTAAAACACCTCTGTGATGCTTGTGCTGAGAACCTAAAACTCAGGCCTCCTACTTTGTTGACAAGCTAGTTAACAAAGCTCTCCTGCAAAAGGTGGGAATATTGCTGCTGATGATGATGATTGATTGTTTTTCAAAAGAATCATCCCTACTCTGTTATCATCCAGAAAGGGCTTTGTGGACTACCTCTGAGTGAAACAGGTACTTCTAGTTCCTGCTGGTTCCCTATATAGTCCATAACGACTTACCTATATGTAACTGGGCTGTATTCCTATGGAAGCACTTACGTTCCCTAGGCCATCAGCGAAGAGAAGTATACACCTAAACTAGATGGGCAGGGTCTCCTTTTTGCTTGCTCCTGAGACATGCAACTCTCTCCAGTGATTATAATGGGGAATTAAGGTGGTTTTCCTCGGAGGTCGGATCACCCTGCAAAGCTTAACCTCAACATACAGGTGGACATTTGTGTCCAAGTGAGGCACAAGTGCTATCTGCTCAAGTGTTAAAAAAGTTTTGGGAGTGTGTAATAGAGATACCACTGCCTCCAGTGTAGCACAACATACTCTCACTACAGCTGAGTGAAGTAATGAAAATTTCATAGCAGGTATGACTAATCTCTACTTTACTGTAAGTATCCGGAGTCTTAGTGACCTCCTGATTTTGCAGTTTTTCCCACTGAAAGTAATGTTTATGCACTCAGCTGCATGGAGGAAAAGGCGTAGATTAGGGAATAACTTCAAATGCTTTGGCTATCCTAGATGCATTAATTTTTCATTACCCCACTTATGGGAAAAAAAAAAAACCACAAAACCAAAAACCTGAGGTAAAACTAAAGTATGTAATGAGGACATTCCAAATCAGGCAAAGAGAAGATCAAGCATTTTCTTCTGGCAGTGCTCTTAATTATTACAAGTAATGTCCTATTTATTATCATCATCATTATTCTTTATCCTTTTTCTTTAAAAATGATCCAGATTGTGTCCCCAAATGTGTATTTTTTTTCTGTTCGACAGAGGCTAGATTCACTCATGGTTGAAAGCAATCGAAGTTTAGACATAAGAAATATTTTTTTTTTTTAAAGCCTGTGCTCTGTAGTTACAATTTGGTTCCAGAGATGAATTGCAAGTACAGACTTGGGCCTTACATTCCTACTGACTGAATGGGAATCCTAACAAGTGAAACAGTGTACTCTGCAATGCTTATCTTCTTTTTCAACTGGTGACAAATGAGAACTACTGCTTCAAGTTAGTCTTACAAACGGCAGGAATAAAACAGAACAGTGCAAATGTTCGTCTTTGAATAGTGGAGAGTCAAAGTAAACTAAGGTGAAAATGGTGTCCGGCAGGGTAGTTCAGATCAGGAAAGTCATCCAACTCCATAGCAGCTTGACCCTAACACAGCCCCAGAGGCAGTGCTACAGCCGCCAGCTAGACAGCTAGCCAAGAAGCTAGCAGAGGTGCAAGCCAAGAAGCCATCCGTGAACCCACATGCCAATGCAAGAAAGCTGTATTCCAGAATTTGGCATCTGGGTCCTCCAGCTGCCAAACATCTCCTATCTGGCTGAGCCTGTGGAACGAGGTGTTAAAAAGAAGAACAGGGGTAAATTATACAAGAGCAAAAGCAGTACCGTTTGCGAGACACCAAGGAGGAAGAGGCACATTGTGCCCGCCAACACCTGAAACTCACACATAGTATCACTTTGTCACCAGTGAAATGGTGGATCAGGGCACTTCTGGATCAGGGGAGGCAGTATGGGCAAAATGCTCAACGTTTTACAGGCAAAGAACAGTTAGACATGTATGAACTGGAGCGACAGTCCCAGCCTGTGGCCATCCACAGAGGTCAGCAGATGCAGAATATTTGTGTGGGACTGGTTTTGAGTAAAACTTACAGCTTTCAGTAGATTTCATGAGCCCAATAGAAAAAAGGGAAAGGAGCCTACAAAAAATGTTTCTTCAAGACTTTGTGATCCATTCTGTTCCCCTGCCTCCACAAAGAAAATCAAATATCTAAGAATGTTTCTGTACTTTCGTAACTAGAATACCGTAATTTTCAGTGTCGTTTTATGGAAGAATAACTTTCTTGAAATTTAGTGGACAAAGATAACTTTAGTAATACAAAATTGAAAAAAAAAAACCCCAAACTGGGCAGGCATGAAATTTCATTCAAATGAAATATATACACTCACATAGCTGTATTTAGTTGTAACAGAATTCACTTCTGACAAGCAGTTACTGTTCCTAAACTGCAATAGCGTACTCCAAGAAGCAAGACCAGCTCTGAGGAATATCCCAGCAGTGTGAGCAGTTTTAAGTGCACCATAAGAGTTCATACTTTCAAATGATACGCTGACTTAAATAATCATCTCATTGGCCTCATTTCCACCTTTCACTCTACAGACAGGTCCACATGGCCTAAACGAGGTTGGACAGATGTGACTTTCTTGAACAATTTGGTCCTTTATTTTAAAAACACATCGAAGACCCTGTATCATCTCTCTTGCAAGGTTGTTTTTATTATAGAATCATAGAATCATTAAGGTTGGAAAAGACCTTTACGATCATCGAGTCCAACCATCAACCCAACACCACCATGACCACTAAACCATGTCCCTAAGCGCCTCATCTACACGTCTTTTAAATACCTCCAGGGATGGGGACTCAACCACTTCCCTGGGCAGCCTGTTCCAATGTTTCACCACTCTTTCAGGAAAGACATTTTTCCTCACGTCCAATCTAAACCTCCCCTGGCGCAACTTGAGGCCATTTCCTCTCATCCTATCGCTAGTTACTTGGGAGAAGAGACCGACACCCACCTCGCTACAACCTCCTTTCAGGTAGTTGTAGAGAGCAATGAGGTCTCCCCTCAGCCTCCTTTTCTCCAGGCTAAACAGTCCCAGTTCCCTCAGCCGCTCCTCATAAGACTTGTGCTCCAGACCCCTCACCAGCCTCGTTGCCCTTCTCTGGACATGCTCCAGCACCTCAACGTCCTTCTTGTAGTGAGGGGCCCAAAACTGAACACAGGATTCGAGGTGTGGCCTCACCAGTGCTGAGTACAGGGGCACGATCACTTCCCTACTCCTGCTGGCCACACTATTATTAGCAGCTATTTGCCTCACCAAAATACTACATTTCAGTCTCAGCTCACTCCAGTCAGAGCCAACAAACTTTCAGTGGATTAGAATTGGTACATGAGATGACTTATGCCATCTTCATCTACATCTAACCATGCATGTTGTTCAGGGGGCCTCATTAGTAGGATCTCATATTCATTGTTATGGTACGTGTAAACTCTACATGTAAATTTATGAGCAAATTTTTGAGCAAAATATTGACAACATTAAAAAAAGAGCAAAAAATTGACAACATAAGCCTCCTTCTTGAAAATGCTTCCTGTAGAATAGAAGCTAATATAATTGGTGATTATACAGAATATTATTGCTAATTTCGGCTAAAGGAGCCTGCATTCAAAATTGTATCTGAAATACAAATTTATTTTAGAAACACAACATTTTGGGAGACTAGTAGGGTCTTCAGAATAATTTCTGAAGTTGCACTAATAATTTCAATCAGATCAAAGAAAATTCTAAGGACTTTTAAAAAATAAATGTATCATCTCAATTTCACACCCAAGGAAACCTTAAAAGTTTTGTATTGGCTTTAACAGAGAAGTTGCTGCTGCTGCTACTTTGAAAATGTTTGAGTAATAAGATCCTGCAAATTTTTAATATAAATACACCAGTTGTAATGCAATTAACTGCAAATTGAAGATAGGAGTAGATTTGAGGAATGGTTTCTGTATTTGACTATTCGTTAGCAATTTGAAAGTGTAATTGCTCTTAAACATGCCATCTTCTTAATTTTATTATGAAGCTTAGCTCTATTTATAAACGTGAAGAATTAGATTTATTCTGCAACTTTTTTGCTTATACTGAATGTGTGAAGTTGTTTTTCCTTCTGTACTCCACAGATAGAGGGCCCACGGATTACTAAGAGTAGATAAAGCAGCGAGTTGATGGGTTTACACCTGTCACACGATGAACATGACTCCAAAGGAATCTTTTCAGGGGCCCACAAGACAAACAAAAGAAGGGGGGAGGACAGACAAGCAAGCAAGCACACTGAGAGTGGACATTTCATTGCACACTATTTTAAAACCCAATAAAACAACAGCAACGAATCCAACAAAAACAGGAACCCTATCAGCATTGGTACATCTCTTCTGTCATATGACATCATTTTTACTTGGGCAAGTGAGGTGAACCCGAGGCACGTTATGGAATCATAATGCTCGCTGAAACCTCCCAGTCACCCCCCCACTGGATTTGTATATAAACTCTGCACTGTAAAGCAGGGCATCTACTAGGCACATTACACAGTAAGGTTTTAAAATTTTGGCCTCCTTGAAATAAAAGCAAGGAGACGTTTGCAAAGACCTCTTCCTACACTTTACAGCTTTGCTTGTCGACGGTTTCGTGGTAACTGGCAATGACCCATTGTAACATGAGTGATGCTGATTCACATTAACTTTGTAACTCAATTTCAGTAGACCATTTTGAACATTTGAAACTGCATTATCAAACATCAGACAGGATTTTTTTTTCTATTCTCGTATTTTAGTCATTGGGATTTGGAAAAAAAATTTGCAGCTTTCCCATGATGCACACCACCACCCTCCCAGCCCCAAAATATAAAAACCAACAGCAAAAAGCAACTTTGGACCTTGCCCAGCCCCACATATCCCCCAGCCATGACATACAGAGGGAAAGAAAGCTGAAAAGCACTGCTACTAGACTTTGTCAATAAAACAGAACATTATATAATACACAATAAAATGCTTCATACCTGGAGTTGAAAAAACGAAAAGGGTTAACAGCTGACCTGGCACAGCCCCACATGCTCTCTCTGGAAATTGAACACAGACAATTAGGAATTTTAAGTTACCCCAAACAATTGCAGGGGACTTAGACAAGCTTGAGGAACACTTACTGCAAAGTAAGCACATAGCCTCAGTGTGGAAGGGACTTTGGGATTTTCCCATTCGCTTAAAACTCCTTCTTAAATGGAAATTGTTCTGTAGAGGTCCCAGCTAATGCTAAGCAAGTCATTAGGACCTCTGCCATTGATTTGCATGGGAGCAGAGTCAAAGCTTAAGGGCCCAGGTGTCACTTAGTAGTAATTCTGGATCATGGTGGATCATGTTTTCTTATTAAAAAATAATTAGTGACCAAGAGGAAAACCTTAATGAGAATCTAGAGCAGGCAGACATTGCATGAAGAAGAAATAGAGGCTGGAGCGAATGTCCGTTCCCAGAATTCTGCTGCTTAAGTAATATTATTCCCAACACATCACTGAAAAACCTAGCGTTTAACGCTTTTTACTTAAAACTGAGACTCCAGGGAAAATAGATAATCTTCTAGAATATTATTTGGAATATTGAACAACACAAATACATGATGTCATAGCTGTATAAACTCCTATATTGGGATTTGGACTACACGGAATGCTCCTTTTCACTGAGGAATCATACTGATCTATGCATGTGCTCAAACAAGAAGCATCATACAGCTGGCTTTTGGAAACAGTTCCACCACATTAGGGGAAAAAAAAAAGAAAAACCTGTAGAAAGCCAAGTCCATGAATAACCCCCTTCAGTCCTTCTCTCTGTGGTTTAGACCTCAAATGTACCATGAAATTAGTCTGAGGCCAACGCCCAAGAAACTAGCAAAAATATTAGAATAACAACATGAATCATAAAAATGTTCTAGCACACTAGCAGTTGAATGCATTTGCACTGGACACATTTTGGATCCTTTATAATGCTCAATTAAAATGACCAGGTTGGCATAGTAATTGTTGAAAGTGAAAAGGAAATTTTCAAAGCAACTTCTCTTGATTTATATAATTGCACTTTCCATTGGCCTTTGGAAACCTACAAATAATCTATTTTCACCCAAGATTTTGCATTGCATCTTTCAAACCTCTCACATTTCCTTGCTTCAGGTGTACAGTAAATATTGGTCGTCTTTACTGTTTGCTTGATTTTGCCATTTCTTAAATGTTGAATTTCTGATAATGACAGAGAACTGCTATCAAGATGACAAAATGATGTAAAGAATTTTCAAAGTCTAAGTCACAGCCTGACACTGTTTTTTTCCACCCTCTTTTTCCACTCTCCATGTAAAGTCTCTTCCTTCTTCTGAAACATATCCCAGGTACCTGTCCCATGCTATCACTAGGTACAGACTTTATTTCACAGTTGCGTCAGTACCTAATCAAAGGGTACTGGGACAAAATCTCCCCTTCCCCATTAGCCCTCAGCTGAAATCAATATGCACTGGAAAAATGGCAACTGGAAACCATAAGAACATTGACCGTTCTCTCCCATGTCAATTAATTTATAATCAACTCTGTGTCTTATTGGAAAAATATTTATTCCTACAGCTGATACAAACAGCAATACATTACCCAGAAGTCATGACTCTAAATTTTGTACACTTCTTTTCATAAAGGTCCCTTTTTAACACCTAAGTCATAGGGCAGGCAAAAATACAGTTAGTGAGGATGATTAAGTATTTGCATGCTGAATTTCTGTCAGTGAGAAATTTAGCAGACAACTAAAACTCTGGTTAGAACCTACAGTATCCAGGCACTGAAGCGAAAGACACCCAGACATCCTCCAATCAACCTCATAGACACCTAAAACTTACTATGTTCCTCTCTGTCTGGCCTGAAAGTCAAATGGCTGTGGCCTCCTACTCAGCCACTGCTCTGATCCAGAAACTGTGGGGAGAAATGCCCAGCCCTTGCCTCTGGGACTTGAACCTTATCCGTGCTATGAAAATGGCTAAAACACACCTGACAACACGGATTCAGCATAAAAGGGATCTGTAATAGTCACTTCCCAATCCAAAATACAAGTGTAGGAGGAAAAGGAAGAGGAAAAGAACGTTGTAGGACCGCTCCTGGATATCTTTTGCATCCTAGCCTTGCATTCCAGAACTGGCAAACGTAGGTATCTGGCTTCCTGAGTCAGACCACTAGTTTTTTATGCCAGACGTGGGTGGCTGCACCACTGCTGCCACTGGCCGTCACATTTTTAAACAGAGTGAAGGCTGGTAGGAAGAGGACAGCATGCTCTGGGTTTTAAAACAGGTAGAAATAGGTAAGCTCAGAACAAAGTACTTGATCTCTTATTTTCCACAATGGGAAGTTGGGAACGTAAGCCCTTTTTTTTTTTTTCCCAAACTGTATTTTAACGAACAACTACAGGTCAGAAGCCCAAGCTCCAAAGACAGTAGAGATGACTCACAGCCAAGTACTTAGCAGATAAGTGGAGCGGCTCTAGGAAGCAGGTTGCTCTGCCCATTGAACTTCAGAGCATTTAACTCTGTGTTGACTATATTGTGAGAGTGTTGATGCCTTGTGTAGGTGCTCTGAAACACTGCTGGAGCCAATCACCTATTTTATAACCTCACAACGCCTCCACCAGACCTCCCCCAAAGCAGGCAATCTGCACCTCGTCTCAAGTGCCCGTGCTGTTATGGTTCCTCTCGGTTCTGGGTACCTGCACTATTTCACACAAGTTGCAAACATATGGGGATAGTGGTACCTCTATGCCATGCAGTATATTGACAAGGATGTACCTGTTACAGAACTGCATGTACTTGGTAGTTCCTCTCAAGAGGAAAAACACATTTTATTTTGACTATGCCTTAGTAGTGGCTAAGAATCTCAGAAATGATGTGATGATACAGACAGCAAGTAGTTCGGAAGTGGAAATACTGAGTGCAAAGGGAATCAACCTGTTCAGCTGAGTAAATAATTTTCAGCAAACAATTTATTATACAACATTATCCTGTTACTCTGCTTTTGAAACTTTTACGACTGAGATTTCAGTCATTATTCCAGTGCCTCCTGTGAACTTATTTATAAATGGTTTGACTCTTTGGCCCTGATAAGCAACTGATCACAGAAATAGCAATGGCCATCAGTTCTTAAAGAGAAACATCATGGTGACTTCTATGACAGCATTGTGTGTCCCTGGTTTATCACGCAGTATCCCAGCCCTATGCTAAATATTGTACTTTTAATGCAAATAATTGAGGGAGATATTTTGACAAGACCGAGACTCCTGCTGACTTTTAACGAGTATATAAATGCAAGTATTTCTTTTCCTGCCTGCCGGCAGCTTCTGGTCATTTCCAGGTTATTTCATTTTCCAGGCTCCGTTTGCAACACTGGAGATTTCCAGCAGCAGCAGATACTGTAGACAGGCCTTAGGATGAGCACTTTTTAGGGCAGCCTCTGACCTCAGTACCTGCCAGCCTGCTCCACGCTGCCTGAGCTTAGCAACACATGCTAGGCAAGAGCGGTTTGGCCATTGCTGCCTCCTCTGATCCACCCTGCTCTCTTCCTTATTTTCTGCCTGCCTCAGTTTTCATATTTCCTTGCACTGCTGTATCCTGTGGCAACTCAGTATGTCCCAGAAGGGTAAATAAATAAAAAGATGACCCAAAAGTTCATTCTTGACACATCTTTTGTTTGTCACAGCTGTAACAATGAAGGTGCTCGGCTTGACTCTGAAACCTGTGACTATCATTACTTCTGACACACCTCAGGATTAGATGCTATTATCTCAGCCATTGCGTTGCTTTCCTCCTTGTTTCAGCCTTCAATTCCTTTCATTTTGGTAGAGTAACTTCATATGTGTGGTGGCTTTAAGCTCCAATTATCCTTTTCTTGATGTGTCCAAAATAGTAACACTCATGTCCTCAGTCACATACACATGGAGAACAACACCTTCTTGGCACACAGGCTCAGCATAAAAAACTCTTCCATATCCATCATCCAGGAACTTCCTTTCACTCCTCTTTACCTCCAGTCTAAAAAGAACTTGCTGTCAGAAATGAGGTTGTGGTGGAGTCACTACTAGTGAAAGAGGATTGAACTAATAAAGGGGAAAACCTAGCACAATCTTTTCCCATCGTGCAGGAAAAAGGAAAATGACAGAAAAAGTGTGGGTTTTTTTTTTTGTAGATCCCTGTATTCACATGCTCACTCAATTACACCTTGCTCAACAATGTTCCCCTCTTAATAGTGCCCTCCTTTGCATGCAGTTTACATACCTGTGACCTACACAACTTTTTTTGTGTTTTTGCATGCATTGATATAAACACTCAGGAAACATTTTTCCATAAATCAGTATAAGCACTGCTATTAAGGTTTAATTGTGCTGCATGTTTGTCTGTCACAAAATCACAGGAACTGCCTTATGGAAAAGAAAAGATAAAAACTTATCTGATCTAGATAATGAAAAAAGAAGTAATTTTGGCGCAAGTGACAGCAGAGGACAATGCTCTTTCTTTTTCTTATCAGTAAGTCAAGGTAGCAGTTCACTGAGGTAGTTTTATTGTGGCTTTTTCTGGCAGTGTTCTGCTATCATCTAATCCACACTCATGAGTATTTGCTAGAGCTCTGAATTTCTTAATGCACACAGCTCTGCCTCTGCTTTCTGTGCTGATTTAGAAAGAAAAAACAGAAAAAGCTGAATAATGAATCACTGGGGAAACAGATGCCAAATAGGTGTACAAACTGCTAACTGGGTAGCAGTAATGCATAATGTTATTTATAATTCATTCTTCGGTGTCATGCTCTTCAAGCAATTACACAATGCCTGCCTCCCTATCAATAAAATGCATTTCACATATCTAACCGCTAATGACTCAAGCTTCACCCTGGAGCAACACATTGTAGTGGATTAAGCATGGGACTAGAAGGCAGACATTTCTGATCCCAGCTCACCCTCTGCTTTGCCGCATGGCCTTGAGCAAGTCACTAACCTGTGGATAATTATAATATTTGAACACACAGGGGACCTGTACAATTTAATTAGTTAATGTTTG